CTGCTTCAACCTCTGCAACCTGCAGCTTCAACCTCTGCAACCTGCAGGTTCAACCTCTGCAACCTGCTGCTTCAACCTCTGCAACCTGCAGGTTCAACCTCTGCAACCTGCAGGTTCAACCTGTGCAACCTGCTGCTTCAACCTCTGCCTCTGCAACCTGCTGGTTCAACCTTGCAACCTGCTTGCAACCTGCTGGCAACCTGCTGCTTCAACCTCTGCAACCTGCTGCTTCAACCTCTGCAACCTGCTGGTTCAACCTCTGCAACCTGCTGGCTCAACCTCTGCAACCTGCTGCTTCAACCTCTGCAACCTGCTGGTTCAACCTCTGCAACCTGCAGGTTCAACCTCTGCAACCTGCTGGTTCAACCTCTGCAACCTGCTGGTTCAACCTGTGCAACCTGCTGGTTCAACCTGTGCAACCTACTGCTTCAACCTCTGCAACCTGCTGCTTCAACCTCTGCCTCTGCAACCTGCTGGTTCAACCTCTGCAACCTGCTGGTTCAACCTCTGCAACCTGCTGTGGTTCAACCTCTGCAACCTGCTGCTTCAACCTCTGCAACCTGCTGCTTCAATCTCTGCAACCTGCTGGTTCAACCTCTGCAACCTGCTGGTTCAACCTCTCTGCAACCTGCTGGTTCAACCTCTGCAACCTGTTGCTTCAACCTCTGCAACCTGCAGCTTCGACCTCTGCAACCTGCTGGTTCAACCTCTGCAACCTGCTGGTTCAACCTCTGCAACCTGCTGGTTCAACCTCTGCAACCTGCTGGTTCAACCTCTGCAACCTGCTGTTGATGTTGGGAACTTGCACCGGGGAGGGTTTTGGTGGGTTTGCGCGGTTTTCGGCGGGTTTGGTTGTGCTCTTGGCGGTTTTTGGTCATTTCAAATTTCGATTCTGGATGGGGAAAGGGCCCACGGGGACACCGCCAGAATTGGGCCTGCGACCGTGCCCAAATCCCCTAGGGAGGCAGCCGCCAGCCCCCAGAACTATCTGGCCATGGCCTAATGGGTAAACGTCTGCCTCCAAAGCCCTCCTCGCAAAGGCTGCGGGCTCAATCCCCGGGGGTGTCATTTGGGCCCTTTCCCCACCCGGAATCGAGATTTTGGGGTGACCTGAAGCTCTGGGCTCTCTGGAGACTTAAGAAACGCTATTATAAGGGTTGCAAATCACACCAAATCCGTGCAAATGCACATTAAACCGTGCAAAGACATACGAAGTTCGTGCACATGCACACCAAGTTCGTGCTAATACACACGAAATGCGTGCAAATACACACAAACACACGCCGAATCCATGCAAATACAAATCCACACACACACTAAAAACTACACACACACACTAAATCCCTCTAACTACACACCAGGCACACAGTAAATGCGTGCAAATACACACGGAATCTGTGCAAATACACACACTACATCCCTGTAATTAGACACCAAATACTGCGTGCAAATACTCACGATCCGTGCAAATCCATGCAAATACACACTAAATTCGTGCAACTACACAGGACGTGAGTGCAAATACACACCAAATCCGTGCAAATACACACGGAATCCGTGCAAATACATCTAAATCCGTGAATCCGTGCAAATACATACTAAATCCGTGCAAATACACACTGAATCCGTGCAAATACACACTAAATCCGTGCAAACACACAAATCCGTGCAAATACACACTAAATCCGTAAATACGCATTAAAAAAATAGGCTTCAATAAAGGCTTGGCTAATAAAGCTTTTCATGCGGCTCAATTGAGCAGTTGCTGAGTCATGCAATTATAATTCTTCCCCCTAAACCCTCAATCTATAGACCCTAAACCTTCCCCCTAATTCAAATTAGGGTTTAAAGGGCGGTGCTACTTCCGGGTGGATCGGGGGAAAAGTGTTTTTATAATTAGGGGGTCCTTTAATAAAAGGGGGAGGGGATTAGTAAGTAAGGTTATAAGTAGCTTATAATTAGGATAACCCCACTTAGGGGACTTATAACCCCAATTATAACCTACTTACTAAGTCCCATGATCCTCCAAGTAGAACCTGAAGACAGCCCCCCAGGTCCTCAGCCATCCGAAAAGCTTCTGCAGACTTTTCGGCTCTCGTCTCAGACGGCCTTAGGTCAGCGTTTAGGGTTTAGGGAGGGATGAGCATAGTTTGGGGGGATCCATAGGTTGTGTTTGCTGAAATTTGTTTTAGTCGTTGTAGGGTTTGTGGTGGGGTGGCGGGGGAAATCGTTTGAACAGGATGCTTGTAAGGATGTTAACATTTGTGGTGCCACCGCGGTTTAATACATATATAGGGCTTGGCATGGTCCCCGTCACACTCGGCGGGTAATTAGTTTGTTTTGGTCGTGCTGAATATTTGCATTTTGCGTGGATGTTGTTACACATTATGCAAACCTTAGTAGAATTACAGCGAACATGGAGGAGGTTAAACACGCGTGTGGTACTGTGTGCTACCCATACGAGTTGTACCTCACTCTCGAAACTGGAAATTGGCGAGCATTACACTCAGGAGCGAAGTTTGCTATGCTTTGGGCTTATAGGTGCAAGTTTAAGGGTTTGCGATCTACTTTCATCTACACCCACGGAAGCCGCCTTTTCCGAACATCTACACAAAGATCAGCTTCCCTTGGAGTTCGCGGCTTCTTTGGCTTTAGGATCAGTAGGTTTTCGATATGAAATCGTAGCTATGCCTCAGGAATAAACCGAAAAAGCTCTATTTGGCCCCAAACCTTGCAGCATTCAGCCTTTGAGCTCGATAGTTACCCAAGAACGCAGCAAATATACTCAGATCTTGAACAAAAACACGGTCAGCAGGTCCTTTCCCTGGGGTCTCTGGCGAGAGGGGTTTTAACTCGAATCTTACCCATCAAATACAGCTTAAGTCCCAATGTCAAGTTAGGGCTATGGGGCTTTCCCCTGTCTGAGCTACATGGTTTCTTGCGTGTGTGTTCTTGGTTTATGCAGGTCTTCCTTTGTGACCAATTCGAAGCGCGCGCACATGTGTGCCTGGCCAACGCAACCAACAAACAGCCGAGCACAAACATTGCTGTGCAGTGTGGAGTTAGTTTCTTTCCTGTACAAAGACTGCATTGTAGCACCGACTCTGTTGCCCCTTTCTTCTTCAGCGCAGCTTGAAGCTCTACACTCTGTATGGTTTGCGGGCGTTCGGGTTTGAAAAGCCTGGAGCTTCCTGTCTGCCGAGACTCTGGGGTGACATCGCATGCGCCACCTGTCACTGCAGTATGCATGGGTCACGGGTTCACGCTCTTCCATACGGCGTAGGACTTTGGCAATCTTGCGACAACTAACCCAATAGACAAGGTCCACCTGTTCAATCCCTACGACCACTGACACCGCTGAAACTAGAACTCTGTCTGCTACTTGTTGCCTACAGCAGATTGATTGCTGTGTCGTGTTTGCTGCTTCGTAATGCAGTGACAATGCATATCCAAAGGTAACTTTACATACATAAACATACATACAATATATGTATATATATATACACACACCATGTGTGCATATACAGATATAAATATATATGTGTGTGTCTGTCTTTTTAAAGGCACGTAGAATATGTATCTAAACGAGTAAACAGAGAAACTAAACATGTATAGTCAGATTATAAAGGTATGTACATATGTATGCATGCATGTACGTATGTAGGCATGCCTGTATGCATGTATGTATGAATGTATGTCTATGACTATGTGTAGGTTGTTTATCTATATGTATATATGCATTTATATATATATATAGAGAGAGAGAGAGAGAGAGAGAGAGAGAGAGAGAGAAAGAGAGAAAGAGAGAGAGAGAGAGAGAGAGAAGGAGTATATATGAGCCCCTGCAGGTACAAACCGCACTGGCAACAATCCCTCATGCGCACCTGGCGAATCGCCGAGGTCAATGCCGAAGGCACGCCCAGTAAGGAAGAATTCCTCAGCCAGTCGGTCTCTTGGAAGACCCAGCTCCCACGCTGGGTTTCGACGCTGACACTCGCACACCCGTTTTAGGGGTTCCCTTCGGGTTTAGAGTTTAGGCGATGAAAATCTTGAGGCAATAGCGTCGATTCGAGTAAGGCGCTCAGGCTGGCTCAGGCTTCTAACGTTCTATCGTCAAGTTCCGGTACCTCTGAAACGTACATTCTAAGCCCCACCAAAGCTAAACCTCGAACTGCTAAACGGCAAACCCGACATGCAGGAGATCATCACAGTATGGAAAACCCAAACCCTAAACGCGGTCGTTTAGCTGTGCCCTTCTATTCGGATCAAGAATCCGCATTGTTGGGACGGACCTATGTTGCTGACATGATCTTAGACTGTTTCAGTTTAGGATGTAGCTAAGGGGTTTAGGGCTCAGGTAAAAGGGGTCTGGGTTTTTGAATTTACGGATTGGTGCTTGGGAAGTAAGCATGAGAGTTTTCGGGTGTGTATGGCCCACCAAACTCCTCTTGTTGTTTGAGCATGTGCTCGTCGAAATGTTGCTCCTTACCCTCTCATGGAACCCAAGGCTTTCTTATGCGCTCTGCCTCTGGGCCCCCGGAAGATAACAACCCCAATGGATAAAGCACTGCATGAAGCTTGCCGGGCTGCTGAGTACCCCAAGGTCTCCCAGCGGAAAAGAGCTGCGGAAGGAAGCCCGAGCCGTCACCCTCGCGGCCAGCGCCAGGGTCGCCGGAGTTCATCTCTCGCTCAACCGGCTGCGGAGCGATCTCAGCCCAAGCCCTTAAATCCAAACAAAGCCTGAACCCCTGAACCACAGACTCTACTACCAAGAGATGTCCACTTAGCCTCAGAGATGAGCAGAAAACACAAAAAACTCCGAACCTATACAATCGAAAATGAAAGCACCACCGAAAGAACACCAACATTTGAGGAACAGTATGCACGACGGTGTGCGGATTCTGACAGTTGGAGCATTCTTCCTTATGTTTTACTCAGGCTTCTTGAGGATCAGAACTTCTTCGGGACCCCTCCTTGCTTCTTTTTTCCACGGCCCAAACGGCTGCAGGAAGGATGCTCGACCTGGAGTGGTGGCCAGCAGAGGGCAATTACAGAAGTTTTCATACATGGGTCGGGTCTACGGTCTAGGACCCCTGAAGCTGCAAAAGCCCGGCTGAGTTGCTGTTGTAGCTGAACTTTATGACTGCGCGGAAAGCCACTCCCTGCAATGCATCGTTCGTCTGCGTTATCGTTGGAGTGTGCAGGCTTTAAAAACTTCGACATGCCGAGGCCATGGCAAAACAACACTGGACAGAACAAAATGCTGCAGTATCCATGTATGAGTACCATCGAGGAACCGATGATTGAACCAATGGCAGGAGAGACCCGGCATACCGTGGCAGCAGTCGAAGCAAGGCGTGGTAGTTGTCGACCCCATCGTCATAGTGCCCATGGTCGCAGCAGCAGCAGCAGCTGTATGGCCGTTGTGGTCGTAGTCGTAGTGGTATAGTAGTAGTAGTAGTAGTAGTAGTAGTAGTAGTAGTAGTAGTAGTAGTAGTAGTAGTAGTAGTAGTAGTAGTAGTAAGAGTCGTCGTCGTCCTTCCCCTCAACTTCTGTTGAGTGCGGCATAAATAGCAACATTAAGGCTCTACAACCTGATCCTCCACGCAACATCCACTGGGAATCAGGCGCTCGCGGCTCCGGATCGGCCTGGCACAGGCGGGTCCGGGTGTCCGGGCAGGAGCTGCGAGCTGAAAGTCGGTGCCAGGATGCATAGTATATTTTGTGTTTAAGCTCCCTTCTCCAAGAATATGCATAGGTTTAGGGTTTAGGGGTTTAGGGTTTAGGGTTCAGGGGGCTTCGGCGGTTTAAGCTTCCGTTTTCAAGCTTCCAGAGGCTGCTGTCATTCTTTGTGGACTGGGTAAGTGAGCGGTGTTTTGCACTTGATTTGCGCTTCCGGCTTGTCTGGCTTCATGCATGCAGCCGTAGAGGCTGTGTTGTTCTGTACTTCTGCTGATGATATAAGTCCTGCATTACCTACTTAAGGCCCCTAAACTATGGGAATTCTGGTATATTCCTTACTATGGGTAATGCAGGATTTGTATCATCAACCGTTGCATGGGGTAGGCTCAAGGAAGCCTTGAACTTAAAAGGCGACACGTTCTGTGACCATGATCCCTTGTGGCGACTTTAGGGCAGAGGGTTGAAGGTATGACGAAGGTCACAACAAGCTAGTGCCCGCGCTCCCCTACTGAGCTGGATTCCCCCCTGAACCTATATAATCGACCTTGGCCGAAAAAATTCTCATCAACGAAAGGTCTGGGCCTCGTTTGTGCTGCAGGATGTGCTGTATGGGATTGATGTAATTGATGTACTGTATGGGAGTGTTCTTAGACCCCGCAACTACCCTCTGATATACCCCACATACTCACTATTAGGGACTATAAGGGCTCCACTGCAGGTCCTGGTGTCTAATTTTCCTAATTTGATAGTCAGGAGCAGCCACTATTAGGGGTTTCGGGCTAGCACTACTAGAATGTCCTACTCGACTTGTTATTTGAAGATCGGTGTAAAATGACCAGTCCGTCGCCAGGTCTGCTATGCTGTTTGGTGCCTGTGTTGGCACCTTTTGGCCTCCTATGATGGTCGGAAGGCACCCCGGTGAACATGTTGCAGCCTGGTATCACTATGCTTACCTTTGGTTACGGAATGGAAGAATGGTAGTAACCGTAGTTATACTTGTACCCCATTCCTCCATTCCCTACTATCCAAAGGTAAGTATGGAGCGATGAAGATTTCTTTTATCGAAGAGTTAGCATTGATGAGAAGCGGTCAGGTGCAAACAGAAAGGGAACCCGCACTTGGGACACCTGCCCATTCCCAACACTTGTCAAAGGTTCTCCAGCTCCGGAAACGAACATACGAAGATATGGCTACGGCGGCATGGGTTAACGTCCAATTCATGAAACATGGGTCAACATTCAGGTCATGACTATCCTGAACTCTGAACTAAATCCTGAAATTCCCGACTGCAAAAGCATCAGCCGAAAACTTGCTTTGTTTGCCCGCTTCTTTCCAGGATCCAGCCGGCAACTTCCCGACAAGGGCGATCTAAACCTAAGCCCTAGCCCTAGACGCCGAAACCGCACAATAGAAAGACAACGCTCTCAGGAATACCCCCGGTGTTAGGGCTTAGGGGTTCAGGGCTTGGGTTTCGGGGTCTTGGATCTCAAGGGAGGGGTGAGGGTTTAGGCTTTGCAACGAGCGGAGATAGATTCACTTGGTTTGCTCAACCACTTGAGGCCACGCTGTCCTGCTCTTGACTTCTTCGGTTCAAAAAGGTTACGTCCACCATTGGGGCCTTACTAATTGGAGTGTAGGTTTTCGGAAGCTTCTATAGTAAACACGTGCATATGTGTATTTATATGTGTATATATGTAATAAGAAACCCTGGGGAATAGCAGTACTAGTTTATTTAGCTGTCTATATTAGAGGCATCGCCCCCGCGGCTTGATGGCTTCGGGTTGATCTCTTCGATGCAGCAGTTTAGGGTTTAGGGTTGGGGGTTTAGGGTTTAGGTGGGGTGGCAAATGCTCTCGTCTGAGTTGTGAGTCACACAAATCCTAACCGTTCAGTTTGAACCCTTCACCGAGCATCATAAGCAGCAACTGGCCTAACCGTTTTGGGCTTCAGTTTGAGCAGGTTTCCATGCTCGTGACGTATGGTTAAAACCTAACTTTTACAAGCTTTGGAATAAGGTCATCTGCGGTGGTTATTGAGTTGAGGTGGCCCCATGTAGCTGCGACTGCAAACGGCATCACATTGCACTGCAGGCAGCTGACGCATTCTCCGGTCATTTGCCTGCAGCGAGACAAGGGGCATGCCGGGCTCCTTTGGGAGTTTCCGAAAATAGGGGACCCTAATATAGTACCCTAAATAGTAGGATCCTCATTATGAGGGCCGCAAATTCATGTACACAAACTTTTGGAAACTCCCATTTGGCTTGGGACGTCGACGGTTTTTCTGGTCTTGGTAGTTTCTCACCTAGATTAGATTGCTTGGGGCTTGAAGGCTTTGGGTCCCACGACTTGCAGGCATTGGAGAAGCAGCAATTGCAGACCGGGAGGGAATTGCAATATCAGTGCGTTTCCTTCGAGTGGTTGTCTTTAAGGGTCCGTGTGCCCATAACTATTTTAATAGCTTGGCCCGCCAGTAACAATACCGGGACTATAAGTACTGCAAGACCAAGGTATATACTGTATGGCAAAGCTTTGCAAGGACGGCACAAGGTCACCGGCAGCCCATGGAGCGAAACGCGATTTGCCACTTTCCAAGGACACGCAGCCAACTCCTCTAGCTCTAATTACCCAACATTCTGCGGAGTTAGGATTCAGGGTTTACGGCTTACCTGATGATGAGGTCATAACTTACCATGCTGCAGGTTTGAGACTACAGGCAAACTCTTAATAAAACTCGATACATGTCGCTTCCCTGGCCTTTCCCCTTCTTCTTGTTGCCGGCATCGAGAACGCTAATCTTTTCCTGCTGCAGAGACATGGTGCAGACTTTGCGCTTCTGGGGAAACCCAAGGTGATAACTGGTAACCCTAAGCCCTGAACCTTGAACCGAAACTCCTGAAGCCCCAACCCCAACCAAGGGTCCAAGGGACCCAATAATTAGGCACCCGGTTTTAGGAGAGTAGTTATGTAGGGTAGGTTTTTGTGATCATATGATTATCAGGTACTTGGACCCTTGGGGCAAGTGCCAGTCACTTTGGCCACCACACCCTTTCAAAGCTCCAAACCTCAAGACAGAATAAAATTGCCTAAACCTTCCTTCCTCTCTCTCTCTCTCTCTCTCTCTCTCTCTCTCTCTCTCTCTCTCTCTCTCTCTCTCAAACGGACTCGAGTCGATGAGCCCCTTAATCCACCAAGCCCTGAGCTGCATAAGCCCTAATAAAACCCTATAAGGCCCCTTACGGAACATAATCCCAGAGACTCCAATATCCCTTAATTAAGGAATATTCCTTAAATTATGGTAGGATCCCTTATATGATTTAAGGTATATTCCTTAATTAAGGGATATTGGAGTCTCTGGGATTTCTGGTGGAAGCAGGTCGATGGGTCATGGCTTCCGGGAGGTTCGGGTCTTGGGGCTCTGGGGGTGGGGTTAGAATTCAGGGATAAGGGGGCACAAGGCGTCGCAGAGATCCAAACAAGCTCGGACTCTGAGAGGATTCTGTAAGGGTTTCCACTATGGGCTATTAGACCCTATGGGTACCTTAATCTACCCTTAATAGGGTCCTAATAGGGATCTTTAGGGTCTAATAGCCCATAGTGGTTCATGAGAGTTCACAGACTTCATACCGGTCTTATGGGGTTCAGGCTCGACGTGGCTTTCGGTTTGGGGCTGAGGTCTAGGATCCAAGGTCAGGCCTTCAGTTCCTAGGAGGTAGGATTCGGGCATTTAGGGTACTCTCAACCCTAAGCCCTAACCCCTAAACATCCCTAAACCCTTAACCCTAGCCCCCTAAACATCCCTAAACCCTAAACCCTGAACCCCTAAAACCGGGTTCAGCTTGCAGAACAGAAATCCGAAAACCCCAATGGCAGGACTTCGAGACCACACCGAAGGAGCTTTAGGAGCCTCAATCTGCATGTTATAGCTTAGAAGGGGCCCCCACCCTGTAATAGTGACTATAAGCATTATATCAGGGCCCTATCATATTCCTATTATACCACTATTACAGGGTGGGAGCCCCTTCTAAGTTATAGCCCGGTTTATGGTTTTCTTTCCCTCCTAGCAAGGGCGAAGCCCGCATTGCAGGGAGTCTCGGGATGCACAGTTGTACAACAGCCACACTTCGTACAGTAGAAGCCAGAAAGTTGGAATATCATTATCGCAACCCCTTTCAGGTAAACTATAGGGGATTCCTACCATTAATCCATATTCCAACTTTCTGGAGTTCCCTTTAATTTGGAAAGGCCCATGCGCGAGCGACCAGAGTAGTATTTACTCCCGTCTCAGACACAGTTTTAGGGTTTAGGGTTGAGGGTTCACTATACTATCATATGAATATCATGTAATGTCAAATAACAGCATGTCCCAATGCAATATTAGTATATTATGGTATGATACCATCTCACAACATAAATCATAGCACTTAAATACTTAAATGCACATAACACAAAACACAATATAAGACTAACTAACATACTGTAATAGGAAATGTCAGAGAATAGGACGGAAGTGGCTAGACTAGAACAGAATAGAGTAGAGTTTAATATACTATGTTATACTATAGTTGACTATAGTTGAATAGAACATACGGTACTAATTATCATCTAGTATAGTGATACGGTGCAGGATAGTTTAGTTCAGTTTAGCCGAGTCTAGTACAGTGCCCTATGGTATCGTAAGGATGAACTATAGCAACGACACACGGCACTGCCGCGATAGAGCGGTTCAAAGCTGAGCAACGCAAGGCTTTGCCAAGTTGTTTTGACACACCGCCCCTTGGTGCATGCGGTGGAAAAGGAGCTCACATGCCTGCGGAAGCCTAGACCCGCGGCTCCATAGTCTGAGCCTCATTACCTTCCCCACGAGCCCCGTGCAAACTTTAGCCTGGAAGCCCGAACAGGTGAAACCTGGCCCCAGAGGCCCGTCCTGAGGGACTTGCTTCCACTCCGCAACGATGATGTCCTGAGCGT